AAGTAAGCCCTTTTTTCAAAAAGGCAAACACCAATCCTATATACCTACCCGTAAAAATGATCCCATCTTTTCTATTAAGGAAAGCTAACCCAGGAAAGAGGAGACCTCACTTTATCCTCAGAATAAAACATGCAGTTTCGCCAGAATGTATAATACCTACCAGCAGTGAAGGCGGTTTTGGAGTAGGAGGAAAAACCATCTTCCACATCTCCTTTTAAAGCTTTACTGGTGGACAGTGAGTGATTTAAGATTCACTGGGACAAGGAGGCATGATATTGTAGTCTGATGGGTAGGATATTTACCTGAGAGAGTCTTGTGCTGTCTTTGTATTTTATTGGCCAGCTGTAATGCCACCACCTCATAAAGGAAAGCCGTAACTAACGTCTCTGCAGAGCTTGGTCCTGTAGGAACGAGTATGGTAGATGCCGCAAGAATGTGCTTACTAGGCAAAGCTGAAGTGGAAGGATAAGTAGATCAATATGATTAGGCACCAGCATCAGACTGGCAGGAACTGAAGCCACTTTGGAACGGGCAGAGAACTGCAGGTATTAAAACATGTAAAAAAAAAAATCAAATAGGGAGTTAAAAAAAAAAGTTAATTAGGTGACCCCAGTTAGAAGACCCAATTTTCCCCTCAGTAAAATCAATGAAGTTTTGTTATGGATGGCAACAGAACCAGAGATGGGTCTAAAGTTTGTTGACAAGAGGTAAACATGGAAAATATTGGCACACGTGTGTTTTATATTTCAAGTAGAGCTGCAAAGAATAAAACTCTCAAAGGTATATCTGAAACCACTCAGGAACATTGTCAGCTAGGAAAGAGCAGGAAACAGCTTCCACTCAATTTGTCATACTGAAACCAGGATCAGAGTAAAGAGATCTTGAACTTAAAATAAAGCAATGGTTTAGAAGCAGCTATTTATATCTTTATAATAGCCTGAGATGGAAGCTACTACTTACGTTGTTGTAGAGCAAAAGCATAGGTCTTCTGAAATACATTCTCTTTTCCTCCCCGCAAAAAGATGACAGTAGAAAAAAATGTGTGCGTGTAAAAAAGGTGCAATATATGTTTATTTAAAATAAGTACTCATACAGAAGGACATCGATAACACATGGAGAATTCAGTCAGATTCTTGCTCCAAGTTATCTTTCCCTCCCAAAAAGCGATACAAGCTGAAGATTAGACTTGCTATTTGGCAATGTAAACATCGCAAAAAGAGTATGTGTTGCCATTAGGAGGTACGTTGTTATATTTTAATTCTTGGCTCACCTCATGTTACATGACACCCGTAGTTAGAATATGACCGCAAGTTGGAACAATATTCACAGAAGTTGGACCATGCTCAAATATACTATGTTTTGTAATAAAACCAAACCAAGCCTACCCACATGTAACAGGTGAACCATCTTTAGATTAGCTGATTATGGTTTCAACTGTAAAAGGAATTCCTTTGCCTTTTTCAGTGCCAGTTTCCCTGCTTACGCTTTTTCTTTCATTTCGAACCATAAAATTCAGTCTATTACATGAGATAATGGATCACAACGATGAAGCCATCCATCTCATTTTCTCTGAAGTTATATTTCAAAAAGGTAGATGCTGAGATAGCATTACACAGAGGTGCAAGAGTCACTGTTTAAATTACTACTAAAAAACTTGCAAAAGGTTGAAAAAGTATGGGGGTGTTGACCCCAGCCAGCAGCCAAGCACCCACATAGCTGCTCACTCTCTTTCCCCTCCATCCCCAGCAGGACAGGGGAGAGAAGAAGAGCAAAAGAAAGAAAACTCACAGGTTGAGATAAAGGCAGTTTAATTAGTGAAGGAAAGAGGAAAAAACAAACCACCAAGCGATGCAAAGGTGATCACTCACTACCTCCCACAGGCAGACCAAAGCCCAGCCAGCCTGTGAACAACAGCTGCTTTGGAAGCCTCCTCCCCGCTTCTTCCTCTACCCTGTTTTTATTGCTGAGCATGACGTTATCAGATATGGAATATCAGATATGGAATATCAGATATGGAATATCAGATATGGAATAGCCCTTTGGCCAGTTCAAGTCAGATGTCCCAGCTGTGTCCCTCCCAAAGTCTTGCCCACCCCCAGCCTACTTGCTGTGGGGGCAGAGCAGGAAAAAGAGAAAGCCTTAACCCAGCGCAAGCATTGCTCAGCACCACCAAAACACTGGTGTGTTATCAACACTGTTTCAGTCACAAATCTGAAACGCAGCACCATATGGGATGCTGTGAAGAAAGTTAACTCCATCTCCACCAGACCCAGTACAGAAAGAAACCTCAAGAATTCAGCTATTAATCTGCATGAGATAGTAAGCTATGATGTGATCTATCTGGAAGCCCAAAATCAAAAGCAAAGTCATAAATGCTTTCAGCATATGAAACAATGTGCCAAATTTATCAAACCCGAAAGCAGTCCACTGCAGTCAATACTATTCTTAACATTTGCAGTAGTGGATTTAACCAGTGTATTTATAAAACAAGTAAGCAGGGAAGCCTTCCCCAAACATACAACTTTGTATGTGAACTTGTGGGACTTCTGTCCACATTATTAAAATTGATCTGTTTTCCTCCTACAGTTATTTACTGTATATATAGGATACATAGGATATTGTTATTTACTGCTTACTCCCAGCAGGTCGTAAGCAGTATTGTACAGTAGATACGCATAAATAGAATCATAAATAAAAAGCTAACAAAGGTGCTCAGAAAGGCAGCTCAATGACTTTGCCACTGAGCATGAGAATTCATTACTAGCTTGTGATGCTTGCTTACTCTAGTTCCAGGGGAAAAAAAAAAATTATACATACATTATCAGAAGCTGCAGTTTCCACGCATCTCTTCTCCTGCCCATAAGTAAACATCCTGGGAGCAGAGAGCAGAAGTGATGGTCTGTGGAAGTCAGCAGCGTCTCTTCACGGAACCCGAGAGCTCCTCAGTGTTTGTAGGAATGACTGTTCATTAGACCCAAAATATCTCAAACAAGGCCACCCACAAAGACAGTACTTTTTGTTCATCTACCATGAAACTCACTTCTGTTAAGGGTAAAGGTGTTGAGCACCACAGATGTTTAACCCACTGAAAGCCTTCAGGAGTTGAGAGCCTGAACAGTGCATAGCTTTCTGGCACTGTCAGATGTTTAAAGGCAAATTTAAGACAAAGGCAGTCCCTCATTACCTCTTTGGGAAACTACTCCTCACCTCCAGAAAGTAATACAGGAGAGCCAGGAAGAAGGTTTCCATAAATAAAACAAAAAAAGGCCACTGCAGACTAAGAGTGCACACAAATACTAACTGTAGCACTGGGAAGTATTTAGCAATTCAGTTTTACACGTAAAGGCCACTCCTGCAGAGCAGCAAGATGCAGTACTCGCCGCTCTGCATCCCAGGAGCAGGAGCTGCCTTGGGGCTCCATCCCAGGAGCAGGAGCTGCTCTGGGGCTCCATCCCTGGGGGGAAGTGCCCTCCCAGCAACTCCGGCGCTTTTTTCCGTGCAGCAAGAGCTTTCTAGAAAAGACTGGGCTCGCTTACAGACAAATTCGAACGTGAACTAAAATCGGGTTATCTGCCCAGGGTCTCAAAAGTAGCACTGGTCACTGAAGAGATCTGTCATGAGTTTGAGAGGCTAAGGCACAACGAGGGAGAGTGATCAAGGCCGTGATTTTCCATGTCCAGCTTAACACAAACCAAGAAGTCTCCACTTCCAAGCGAGCTGAGGCTGCTTTAAGGCATATGGGGAGCAGAGTGAACACGGATCACGGCAGCTGTCAAATCTAAACATGACTAGAAATTTCTTTCTCCAATCCCTGTAGGTGACCCAAATTTGGGTTCTGGGACACTGTTGAACTAAAAAAAAAAAAAAGAAAAAAAAAAAGCAGCTTTGTTTGAGGTATTAGAACTTTTACAGCTCGTGCACAGCGCTCTGTCGCTTGCCGCAGGCCTCGATGCAGATGTGCCAGAACCACCTGAATCGCTCCGGCTCTGCCCTGGGCGGGCATGTCCTGGGCAGCCTTCGCTCCCTTGAAAACGAGCGGCAGCAAAAGCAGCAGCCCCAGCTCCCATCTCTGCCCTCCCGCCTCTCCCGCGGCAGGTCAGGCTAGCAGCAAATAGGGATGTTCTCTATTCCACAGTGCTACACAGCAAGCAAGCTCACTTCTAAATATATCCAAACAGAAGTTTCGAAACCGCAAAATACATACAGTTCTCGCTGTAAGTAATGCGGCAAAATGTAGGTTATACCTAGTATTTCACAGTAAATGTAGTGTTGTTTAACTTTTTTCCTTGTCTTCAGTGTAGCAGATACAAGAGACCCATTTGAAGAAAACGAAGACTTCCACAGAAAGTAACAAGTAAGTTTACTTTCTGGGTTTTTTACTCCCTGTCATAACAAAATAGTGATCATCTTGCCTGCTCTTCACAAGAGGACCTTTTGATGCACCAGGCGTTCCTTTGTTACATGCTGTTGCTGATTTTCCCTGAGGGAGAGGCTTCTTGGCGGCTGGGGCCAAGCATTCGTTGGCTTGCAAGGTTTTGGTTGAAGGTTGATCTTTCGCAGAAGGCTGCGCTGGCTTTTTGGTCGCTGTCGCTTTGGCTGAAGTTTGAGGAAGTCGTACAACGGATAAGGGAGTGCGTTCAGGAGATTTGGACGAAGCAGGCCCAACCTGAGGAGATCTACTGACATTTGGCTGCTTATTGACAGCTGATGATACATTTTTGCTTGTAGATACCAGCGACTTTGACGCTTTGCTAACTGCAAGGGAAGGCGCAGAAGCTGAGTGTTTTAGGACTGAAGCACTTTTTGGGTTCCTTGCCAGGGCAGAAGCTGTTTGTGGAGGTTTCTGAGGACGCTGAGACTCAGTTCCTGAGGTCTGAACCGCATTTTCAGAAGGAGGTTTTGCAAGGAGCTGCTGAGAACGTGCAAACTTGGCGACGGCAGGCAGATTTGTCACAGGCAGCCAAGCAGCCCTCGGAGCAACTGAATTTGGTTTGGTTTTAGTGACAGATACAGGTTTGCATTTAGCAGGGACACGCTTCTGTTTTGAAGCCATCGTTTCAGCTGTCCCAGGCAAGCGAGACGACTGTTTTTTAGAGGACGAGAGGGCCGGGTGCACCGCCGGTGCCGGGGAGCCCTGAGGCAGGGCAAACTTCACCTTGGGAGCATCAGGGGACCGAATACGTTTGCGTAACGTTTCGGAGTGAACAAGAACCGTTCTCGTTCCCGCAGTTGAAGAGCTTTTGCTTACAGGCTGCGAAGGAGCAGAAGCTGGTGAGTTGTGTGCAGGAGACTCCAGCCTCTTTGAGATGCCAGCTAATGGTCTGAAAGGAGACTGCGCGCCTGTCCCTGAAGACCCTTGTAATTTGGACCTGACTGACACTGACTTGGCTGTGGAGTATGGGTGCGCTGGCACTTTTGGTGGTGCCAGGGCAGGGGACTGAGGGCGTGCAGCTACAACCTTCTTGGCACTGGCCCCGTGGACAGCCTTTAGAGCTGGAACAGGAGTCGGGGGTTTCGATGGCTGCTTTTGAAACATATCGACAGCTGACATTGGATTCATGACAGGAGGCTCCTGAGTTCTCGCTGACGAGTTGGGGACATTGTCACTGGTGACTCCTTTCTGAAACGCCAGGATTTTTTGTTCCAGAGTTGCAAACTGAAGTACTCGGCACGGATCATATTTAAGCAGAAATCCTTGAAGAGTGTCCCAGCCTCCACCAACACGTACCATCACGTGCTTGCCATGTAGCATCTGAAAATGGAGGCAGAGGGGGCGGGAGCAGAAGAACAAGAGAAATTTTTATCTTGTTTTTTGCGGCATCATGTCTTCATCTTACATTAGTGTCAATGAAATCGACTAAAAATAGGACTTCCTTTCTTACAGAGAAACATTTTAGAAAAGAGAAATTATGTGATAAATAAGTTTATGCTTCCCAATTATTTTCTTAGGTAGTTTCTTCTGCAGAGACAGTCATTATGTGTGGGGAAATAACAAAAGCATATGTAAAGAAGACATTTTAACCATTCTGTCAGTATCTTTATTTAGTATACCAAGTTTTGGATACAGGTTTTGTTCAAATTATGGATGTCCTCATAACATTTTAATCCCAGAAACTCTGACACCTGCTGAAGACAGCGCTCAACGATCCTACAAATTATAAACCCCAAGCATACAGGTTTTGCAATAGAATATCCTGAGAACGTTGCTTGTTCATTATCCTTATTTATATTGCAAGTTGCTACTGAAATTTTAGAAACACCACAGCAAAACATTTAACTTGCTTAGTCTAGCGTGATTGTAAAAATCAATGGTTATAAGATTTAATTAGCTACATCTGCTTTGAATCATTGATTGGATGATGTGGTGTCCCAGCCTAAATCATTCTGTAATTCTAAAACAATACTATAAAAATGAAGTATTCCACTTAAAAGCATTTCTCTCCCCATTAAGAATATAAATTGGAATTCTGAGAAACTACTTACTCGTATGAAGAGTATTTTATCTCCCAGTCTATAACGTCCTTCCGATAAGTATTCAATTGAAAATCGATGGGAACAACTGCAGGGAGGGTCTTCTGCTATATGTTTAACCTAGTTATTAAAATTGAAAGCATTTCTTAGTATTTTGACAGAAGCATGTGATTAACAGTTTACTGAAATATTTTATACAAGGAAAGATACTGATATCTTCATCCCATAATCTAAGAAAACACTAGAATTCTATTCCCTCACAAGAATGTCTCAGCTACATAGAGCTTCAAAATGTAAAATAAAAGATTAAAAGAAAGAACTAACTGTATGTACAGACAAATGTTTCAAATTGTTCTGATCCAGTTTTCATGATTTCTTCAATTTTAAGCTATTTCTACTTTCCTTTCTAAGATTTGTCCATAACACTATGCACAGTAGCATCAAATTCCAGCCAGGACCTTGTAAAGACACTGTTATGGTCTCTTGAAATTGCAACAAGTGCCCGAGTCTCTCCTGTGACCAAATCCATTGCTACACCTGACCCAGGGCTACTTCACCTTTCTCCCTAACTTTTTGTAAGGCTTTTATAAGTTAATCTTCTGTGTGACACCCAAGAAAGAAACCACTGAAAAAAAGGAGAAAGGTAGTCCCCAAATAAGTTCAGAGTTAGAGAAGATGTGCCTCTTACAGCCACTTAGAAACGTAACAAATTGGAAGGTCAAGACTATTTGCCAAGCAGGAAAAATAGCGAGAGTTTTCAGAGAGCGCGAGGACCTGGTGGCTGACATTCCCAAAGAAGCAGAAGTTTTACTTTACAACACAAAGGAACTTTAAAATAAATTAATTTTAAAGTCTTAACATACATTTTTCAGCAAAATAGGGAAGTTGTGAATTGGTCCAAAAGGAATGATGAACAAGATGTACAAATAATCTCCTTTTCTGCAAACATATTCATTTCCAGTTGGTACAGCTACAGGGGTTTTATTTAAAGTCTTTTTCAAAAGAGTTTCAAAGCCTACTTTAACATTTGAGGAAGTTTTACGAAAATATCAAATTGAAGAGCAGCATACATTACAGTCATAGAATACTGACACGTCATAAAAATTGAGTGAGAGTATTTCTTATACTCAAAGAAGCGGGGGGAAGGAAATCAAGGCAAGTTATATGCACTGTGGCTTTAACTCCAAAATATATGACAGCATTTTGCTTACATATTTGAGCAACAAAAAATAGTTGTTCAAATGAGGTGCATACTGTCCTTTTATTTAAGGAGGCTCACAAATATTGGATGAAAACCAGCCTATGCTTACTGAGCCAGATCATACAAGTATTAAACTTAGAGTTTGATTTAAAGCCCATATCACAATAAATAAGTAGTACTTACTGCCTCATGTAGCTCCCCATGATGACAACATGACTTTGCTGTGCTAATAGGTGTTGGTGGTCCAGAGGTCATCAGCAGTGTTTCTTCTAGCTCAATTTCCTTCTCTAGTTTTACTAGCACAGGAGGTTCAACTCCATACCTCAACACAAATACAGAGCGTGTTTAATTGCAAATTTACTAAAGAAAACAAAAAGAAACTGATGATATCAAACATGCAAAATTCTGAATAGCGTGACTGACAGGGAACTGCACTACATCAGTCAGAGGAATAACTGCCTTGATAATCCAAAGGGAAGGAGCTGCTCCGATTTTCAAGTAGAAGCTCTCCCAAAGGTAGCCTTAGAGCCACCAGAGAAGGCAGTAAAAATAGTCAAAACGACACAATTTACGTCACATCCAATTTAGATAAACTACCTTAAAGCTTCCTGCTCTGCACTAGAAATAAATAAGAAGTGTAAATTTAGAGAATGATAAAGACTTGATTCATATTTAAAGATACCATATCTGCCAAAAAGCTTAAAAAAAAAAAAAGACCCTGAAATCATATTTAATGTTCACTGAGTTCTTCTAAAATGCACACATATCTATAAGCTGAATGTAGCATTTAAGCATACAGCTATAAAAAGCAGTGTGGATCAGCAGTTTTTCATGAAAAGAATCTGATAAATATTTGAAAAAATACTCGTATCGTATGGTGGTTCTAGAAAAGCTACTCGTTACTTTCTGCACGGAATTAACATCTCCTGCATTGCACTTAACGACCACAGATTGCCTTAACTTCGTCTTAGCTTTTACTTAATAGAATATGTTCTTCAATTTCTTGTTAAGAGCACGTATGGATCACATACCTGGATACGATGCGTCCAATTTCCAACAGACAAAGATACACTTGTCTTGGATCCTTGTGCAAAACTAAAAGGGAAGAGAATAAAAGGGAGTTACAGCTGATATTTACTGTGGGGAGGCCTGTGCAATTTGGTGCAGAGAAGGGAAGGTAAGGAATAGATGACTATAACTTTGCCATCATTCTACCCACAGGCAAGCTACACTACCATGGATAAAGCACTATATGCTTTCCAACTCTGATTTTCTATTCCATGAAGTGTTTAAGCCCATCCTGGGACTGCTGACATCAAACTCTTCTCTACCTCCTAAGAGAAATAGGCTTTATTTGGTTTTATGATGTTCCTTCTTGATGTGAAATGGAAAGAAAGAGATCCGAGAGCTTTCCCTTCCCTACCCCCAAACTCATTATAGCAGTCTTAAAAGTGAGAAGTACTCAACAACTGCAAATAGGAAAATATACCCCATCTGTTCATGCTCATGCATACAGACACAGAAAACACACACTGTGTCGGTGAACCACCGTAGAAGAACACACCGCAAGGGACCTGGCTGACAAGTGGATGGTATGCAGCCCGTCAGCCTAAGTGGTTTAAACCCTTGGCTGTGAAAGAATAATCTGAGTGATTGCTACCGTTTCAGTAAGCAACAGAACTTTTTTCTTATCACTTTAAAAGTTCTAGGTGCTAGCAGGGTCCAATCCAAATGGCAGATTCACCCAATTCCCGTAGATACCACTTTGCCAGTGGCAGCTCCCCTACCCCATACTATACCCTCATTTCCCCTTTCCTATCAATCCCCACCTCCTGCCCCACCCACCCAAAGGTTTTCTTCAGAATTTGGTATCTTTGTCAGGCTCTATCTGAGAAAGAGGGTCAAAGCCCCTGACTGTAAGAAGGAGGGGAGAATGACGTTGGTTTAAGAGACAAACACTCATATTTGAACATCAGATACTGGCTGGGATCACAGAAAAGAAACAACACTCTCTCAGACACCTTAGTAGCACAGAGTTTTGCCCATGGCTTTGCTTCTCAAAGGCTTGCCCTAGGCTTTGCTTCTCAAAGGCTATGCCCACGTTAACCCAGCTAGTGCCAAACACAGAGGCTGCTTTGCAACCCTCGATTCAGAGCAGCTCTAACAGCTGCATGCGCTCCACCATGTAGGCACAATAAATCACGATCAGGAGAGCTGAAGAATGAGATGGAAGAGTGGAGTGATAGCCAAACGGTGTGAACATGACCACGGCAGGTCTTCTGTGTTTTCTTGACAACTTTGAAATGTAAGTATTCAATTATTTCTACTGCAGCAATGAAGAATGGAAGAGGCAGAAGGCAAACAATGCCTGCTTTGGTTTCTTGAAACTTCCTTCTTTAGGTGTGCAAGAAAAAGGGGAAAAAAACCAAGGCCACGAACAGAGAAAGAAAATAGTTTAAGATCTCACACAGAAGTAACTACTTCCTCCTCTGTCCCCATTTAAGCCTCAAAATTTAGATGCTCTCAACGTGTTCCAAGAACAGTTGTATGAATACTTTAGAAAACAAACTATCCCTTGTGCTTTCTTAGGCAACTAGGAATATTGCCTAATAACTCAGAAACCAAAGGCTGGACGAGAAGGTCATTCAAGTCCCTTCAACCCAATACATGACATGTTTCTTTCCCCCATCTAACATGAGACATGAGAAAAGCTACAGACACCGTTCTCATATGGTGTAACATTTACATGAACAAAGTCTGACTTTCTTCACACCGCGCAGCAACAATATTCAGTTGAAAATGGAAATTCACTCTAAAAAGAAACCTAATGAGCCAGCTCTATATTTAGAGATGAAATCTAACATCTTTCTGATGTTCAATTTGGTATTTAAAACAGCTTTGCTTTAAATAAGACTGAAGTGTTTCCTAAAGTATAAGCTGAGTATGAAGTCAGATGTTCTTGTTTATACCATCTACTCCAGTTTATAAGTCTACTTTTTAAAAAATCTGATTACGAAGGGTAAGTCTAAAACAGAAAGTTGATTCAGCCATAATCTAAAGGTACTGGAGGTCATTTAATCTCTTCTTTTTTTGTGTTTTTGACAGCTGTAACAGGAGTGGCATAATTTGCCTGAATCCAAATCTCTCCCTCGCCGAGATCAAGACATTTGTTTCGGCTTGATGTCAAAGGGCATCCCATGATGGTTACTCTCCCTTTCTGCTGTCTCAGGAGCCACTTAATTTTTTCCTTCACAGCCATCCACACTTTTCAGGAAGTGTTGCTACATCTATCTGATGGGAAAGGGACAATTGTCAAATTGTCTTTCCCTTAGTTCATTCATAAAGAATAGCTGCAAGTTTGATGGCAAACATCAGTGGAAAGAATGTTTCATCAAGGAGGCTGCAAGTCTGCTCATTTTGACTGCCAAAAGGGCTCACAGAACATATTTATGCCACAAAGCAAGCTTGTGTCAAGAGTTACAATCAGACTTCAAAACACTTCTTGGGTATGAGTGAAAGCCACAGCATTAGGAAATCCTGCCTGCTTATCTCAGGGAGGCTAAACAGGTTCTAGTTACCCATCCACTTAAAGGCACTATGATGTTTAAGCAATCCAATTCATATAAGTTGAGCTGAAAAAAATATTAAAACTGATTTTCTTATAGCTCAGTTCTCCTACTCATCTGTATTTCATGGCACTGAAGAAAGATACACTCCCTAGTTAAATCAGAATGAGACAGATGCAAATAGGGAGGTTTTCACAACTATTTTAAAAGGTGACTTATCCAGTAGAGAAGGCATGGGCAGTCCAACTAGCAGGGAGGAGAGCTTGAAAGGAAATCAGTTAATGAAAACAGTGCCTCTCATTTAAATAGCATTAAATGGCACAAAGACTTCAAGAAAATCTAGTAAATACTGTGTCAAATTCATTTGATTACTGAAAACAAAGGTACTTTGCAATTTTTTGTTATTCTGCTTGACAGGCAGGTATTTTGCCTGCTTTTATTTTTTTTTTAAATAAACAAAAAAACCTGAAAAAAACCCCAGTATTTGGCTTGCCACAGAAGGTAATTAATTTTTACTGACACAATAGCTCGTAGAAAAGTATTTCATTATTTACAATGCAATGAAAGCACAGTTCCCCTTAATTAGCAGTCAGAAAAATCTTATTCCATCTGGAATATCAGTCTAGAAGCTGTTTGTTATAAGGGACAGACTGTGCACTGGGGCAGGCATACACACAGTTGGTAGTATTTATTTTTATATCTTACTAAATGGGAAAATACAAATGGTTTAGAGTCACATCAAGTAGGTCCTGAAGTAAATGTTAATTACCAACAGACTGTTGTCACTTCAGGCACAACGCCCTGATGTAGTTACCAAATTTAGCTGTCATGAATGCATTATTCCGAGGGCCTTCTGCAACAAGAACGAGCTCTAATACCGAATAAAGGATCCTATTGTGAGTTGACTCCATGGCCCTGTGGTCTTCCCGCACAGGGAAAGCGAAACACCACTTTTCTCCTCTGTTTCTCAGTGGGCTTTTTTATTGAAGGAAAACATGTGAGTTTGCTGTACAGCTGTCACTCCCCACCTTCCTCCCACACGGCAACTTTTAGAAGGCTGGAAAAGCATTGTGCGAGTTTGAGCAGTCACTGAACTGATTTTTCAAGGCTTTTACGTGAACATTGCCTTAAACTAAATAAAAGCATTAATAGCTTGCACAAGACCGGTACAGTTGTGACAAAGGCTTCACAAGATTATACAGAAGAGATCTCCCTGACCAGGTAGTTATCTACATACAGATCAAAGCAAGTCTTACGAAAAGATAGATTTACCTAAGCCTTCAGATTCAAAGAGATAAGTCTCATCAACTCCAATGGCCCTACACCAGTTAAGAAAGTTGGCTGTATTATCTCTGGCAAAAAAAGATCCTGATGGAGCATCCTTCTTACACGGAACTTTTCTCATAGGAAAATTCTGGCAAGGGAAGAAAACAAAAAGTACATTGTGCACATCGACATTACCAACAGATTTCAAAGCATATTTGCAAAGGAAAATAAACCCTAAACTCAGAGTACACAAGCAGTGGTTACTAAGTATTTTGTGTTCAACCCACCACGTATTCTATTAAAAAAAAACCCTACGCTAATGCAGAAGGCATTCCACCTTATTTTTGTGAACAGTCACTAAGTGAATAATCCTTAGCTCTGCAACCTCTCCCGGAACTGCCCATACAGTTGCGCTTCCCCATTTCCCCACATGCTGGGGTAAAAGTCTTACTGGTGGTTTCACAGGTGTAGATAATTATTCCCCCTTCCCAGGCTCCGTTCATAGCAGCAGAATGAGCGGAGAGAACCCCAAATCAACTAAACTATACTTAGCTGTCAGTTTTCAGCATTTTAGAGCCTGTTCTAGAAAGTGGAGGGAATCAGAAGGGAGCAAAGGGCAATCTCCTTTAAAACAATTCAGTACGTACTTGTTTTTAAACTGGTATCTTCAAACCTAAAGAATCAGTTAAAAAGTAAGCAAGTTGGGCACCTTGTCCTTCTTAAAAAATCCCTAAGGATTTGCAGCATTCGTATGGCTCTTGTATAAATACCATTTGGCATCCTAAGACTGCTGTCTTGTCCCCCTTCCAATTAATAATAATTCTAATATTAGTAATTATATTGCGTACTGGTATATAACATTTTTTTAAAACTACTGTTTTACTAGATAAAACAGTGAAAGGTAAACACACACCAAAAAAAATGGTCTGGATATGGTGAAAAAGTTCCTCCTGCCCTCAAGGGAAACACTACCAACCAGGGCACATTAGTTGGTGATCTGATATTTGACAAATCCAAGCATTGCTGTAGCTATACTGGGCACCTGTACATTGAACGTATGCTACCTGCACCAGCATTATGCAGTTTCGTACTCCGAAGTGTCACACCGCTATTTTTCGTTGTACAAACACAGACTGGAAGTTGATTGAGATTTATGTTTCAGTTCAGCCTTGGCTCCTAAGAAAAACACTGAAGCTCATCTCCAGGTACATCTCAACATGGATATTTTCATGGCTAGCCTATATACTAGAGTTTAGCCACCAGTTTCTGGTATAAAACATACCACTAAGTATCAATGGGTATCTTGTTCGCAACCCACACTGATGTTATCAGGGGAACAATCAAACTCCAGACTGACAATCTCCCTCTGGCAAGACTTCTACCAAAATCAAACTAAAACTTAGGATTTGACTAACAAAGTGAATAAGTAATTTGTTGCATAAGGCCAGTTTATCCATCTATAAAGCCACGTTATCCTTAATCTCTGCATACACAGCATACATCACTTTGGGAAGCCTCACTCACCTGCTTTCCTTTTACTAGTTCTTACAATTAAAGTTTATATATGCATTAAAAAAAAAAAATCACAATATGACTCACCCTTAAATTATTTGAGCTACAACATTTTTTAACTGTGTTTTGAAGAACACCAACCAGTTGGCAGAGTAGCACTCCATTATCAAGTTCTTCTAGCAGTTGTTCTGCTGTGACTTCTATTCCTAAAAAACGTCAATTTTAGAGTTACTCCACAAAACGTGAAGAAGTTTCATATGAACTCAAAGGCAACTCACATAGCATTCCGGGGTTAAGGACTGAAAATTAGTAGAAATATGTATGTAAACGAAAATCAAATATCCACTTAATTAGATTTCAATTAGAGTAACAAGATTCACAAATAAATTAGAATTATTAATCATCCTACCTCTAAGAGGTGTCAGCTAATAAAATCTGAAACCGAAGCATGCATTCTAATGCAATTCTCCCAGCCATTCAGACTGAAATATACCAGATCCTAATAATACTATATTAAGTATTAATATTAAGTGTCAGTGTTGACTGGAATATTGGAAAGTACTTTGAAATTTATTAGAGTGTGATTTATTTTTAACCTCACCCAGCAAGCCCGACAGCCAGATTGACAGATCTTCTTGCATAGGCACCAAAGTTGCTTCATGCCGCACAGATATCCATTGGTCATACAGGCACACATCTGCCAAACCTGGCCCATGTCTGGGAGTCAGAGGACTTCGGGGACTTAAAGGAAGGTCATCGCCAAACCACACCTGCAGAAGACTTCAGTAAGCTGAAGACAGCGAGCTCTAAATTTTGCAGTCAGACATTGGAAACCTGCAGTTCTGATTTATGCTATTATTCAAAGAGTTAAGTGTTCGTTCCCCTTCAGACAGATACGCCAAACCAACAGAACAGCAATCGGGAATGGTGCAGGTCTCATTAGTAACTCCTGCATCAAAAGCACCACTACATTCATTCTTCTGACTTCTTTGGGTTTAAAATGACATACTTTCCTGGATATTAAATTAAAAAAACATGTATCAAATTTGTGGGGTTTTTTTTTCACCCCTCAGCAAATTTTAAGTAATGAAATCAGCAGTTTATCTTATAATTTACTGCAGACTACTGATTCCTTTGCTCAAACGTTTCAGAGGCATTTTGTGGTTAAATCATTAAAATGATGATGTTAAAAAGAGGAAACATATTCCCATGCAAGAACATAAACACTTCTTGAACATCAATCTTTAGCATTTCTCTTAAGGATTGCATATTTTCAAACTGAGGAGTACCTTTACATTTCAAGAAAAGGACCACACTGAAATTTCATGTACAAAATTCCCAAAGAGAAAGAGTCCTTCTGGTACTCTTAAATACTTTCCTTCAGTTCAGGAAGTGTGTGTGTTTATAAAATACATTTATTTATATTTAAGTGATTAACTAGAACACAGGGGTTTTAAAAAGACCTCTTTAATCATCAAGCAAGTTTTTAAATAATCTCAGCCTTTGACTTCAAAACCTTCTTATGTAACAGGGCTTAGGAAGAGAAGGGATCACCTATCTGAAATAACACTGGGCTATCTATCTTGTCATATTGCTCTATTTGTAAAAGGGAAAAACTATTACTTTTTTTTTTTTAAATGATAGATAAAACTCTAATAACTAGAGATTCTAGCATTTAATTTGCTTCAGGGTAGATTTTTGCATTTAAAAAAAGGTATTATGCAGAATTCAAACATTACAAAAGGAATTTACCTGAACTGCAGTCTGCATGGTCGGCTGCATTTACATTAGTTTCTCCCCCTGGGAAAAGAAGAGACTTTTTAATCCATGAAAATCCCAAGAAAACTTATTTTCCTGTTTTGGCAAAATGAGAGTGAGTCTAATAGGGAATGGAAGAGGGGAAGAGGG